AGATTTTAATAAAGAATTATTAAAATATATAATAATGAAAATATTATTAATTTCTATGGAGTATATATTTCTAGTATAAATATATTTATTGCAGTACATATTTCACACACACACACACACACACACACACGCACACACACACACACACACACACACACACACACACACACACACACACACACACACACACACACACACACACACACACACACACACACACACACACACACAAAATAAACAAATGCATTTTTTTGTTCTTCCAAATGCAAAATAACAACTAGTCAAACTTCAAAAGTCTACTCTTTGACTCTGCTTCCCCCCCAAAAAAGTTAGTCGATCTGCAACAGCCTTTTTATTTACTCTCCCCCTTTGAACTACAAACAAAAAACGTCTCTGAAATCGAAACATCCCGCAGTGACGAGACCCCATCAGCACTGTATTCTGACATATCAGCATCTCCTCAAGCATGTAGACTTCAGGATCAATCCACACAGAATTACAAACACAAGAACAAGTCGCTCACAAACTCAATCAAGGTACTTGAGAAAGTCAGTAAAACTGGCACCTCCGAATGAAACTGAATATGTGCAACTCGCTTTCCTTAAGAGGATTTGGGATATCAGCAAAAGGCAGAGCGTTCATACGGGTATCTGTACTGTTGATGCCTGAGTTAAGTCGAGACGTGCTGATGTTGTGCCAAGAAGCAAAAAAAAACAACAACAACGCAAGTAATGCCGTTTGGCTCAATCACACGTGTTAAGAGTCAGATAAATATTTACGCTGGCAAATCTCACAAATGTTGCTTGATAGTTGTTAGCTTGATGGTAAATCATAGTGCGTACTGCTCTAATATTCTGATTTAAAAGCAGTTTTGATGCATCTAGTTAGTCGAAACTGAGATTAAAGAGATTAAAGTTCACTCAAAAATGAAAATTCTTTCTCTGTTTATGAACCCTTTAATGTTCCAAGCCTGACTTTCTTAATTATGTCGAGCAAAAAAGAAGATATTTTGAAGAATGCTGAAAACCGGTAACCATTAGGTTGCATGGCATTTGTTTTCCCTACTATGGAAGTCAAGGGTTACAGGTAACTTTCTTCGAAATATCTTCTTGGGTGTTTAAAAGAAGTAGGAATCACTTAAAGGTTTGCAACCTCTTGAGGGAGAGTAAACTGAGCAAATTCTATTTTTAAGTGAACTATCCCTTTAATTGAGAATGTGAAATGATAATTAACAACAAAATAACAATAAAATGGGCTACACGGTGGTTCAGTGGTTAGCACTGTTGCTTCACAGCAAGAAGGTCAATGGTTTGAGTCCCTGGAGCACCTCCGGGTGCTCTGATTTCCCCAACAGTCTATGACATGCGCTATAGGTGAATTGAATAAACTAAATTGGCCCCAGTGTATGTGTGTGAATGAGTGTGTATGGATGTTTGGATGTTTTCCAGTGCTGGGATAAGTTGAATAAAGGGAATAATGCAAAGGGAAATAAATGAATGAATAACAATAAAATGTGCCACGAATCACTTGATGTATAGAAACCAACTGCAAAGCACTAAACTATGAATGTTAACCATATGCATATTATGTGCATAATCAAACAGTCTAAAATAGGAATCAAGCCACTTAGAAAATAGAGCACTTTCAGTGTATATTAACCTAGATTATATTAATTTCCTCATACAATGATTCTATATGGTTTATAAAAGAGTATTGTTCAAATGTAAGAATTACCACTATGATAGGGCTTTTTTATGCTTGAAAGCTTAAATAGTAGCTCAAATCATTGACTTTTTTATTTCTGGCTGAACTTTCCCTTTAAGGTGAGACACAGAAGGCAGAAACACTCTATGCACTTGTCAATTTTGAGATTTTGGCCTTATAGATTTTTTTTTAGTCCAATGGAAAGAAAACTTCCTAAATTTACTTTTAAGTGCTTCTTTTATCTCACTTTATAAATTTGTATTTGAAAAATTTCAATCACAATCCATATTTTAAAAGTTGAACTGATTTCTTAAAATAGTTTTTTTCTTATCTCCACTGAGCCACATATCTCGTGTTAAGCAGCTATTATTATGTATTTTATTAAATTTTCTGTATTTGGCTGATTTACAGAAAAGTTTGTTTATATATAGGCTAATGTGTCTTTATAATTTATGCAAAAAACTGTCAATTTTCAGATGTTGGCCTTTTAGGCTTATTATCATCAACTTAATAAAAAAAAAAAAAAAAAACTTCCAAAATATACTTAGAAGTATTTATGTTATCCAACTTTTATTAATGTGTGTCTGTAGATTTCACGTATATAATTCGTAATAAAGTCCTATATAATTTACAGAATAGTATAATCATATGTAGGCTATTATGTCTGATTATGCCTTTTGCTTGAAAAAAAAAAAAAAAAAAACATATATATATATATATATATATATATATATATATATATATATATATATA